CCTCATGTTATATCTGTTAGAGGATTGATATATTTAGAATAGGCTCACAAAGTCTTTTGTTAAGTCTAATGCTACATTATGCATAACACAAGCATTTTGAAAGAAGTCAGCTTAGTTCAGTTAGCTTCAAAAGTTTGTAACCATGAAAAAGAGGATCAGAGGGAGCATCTAACTTTGACCTTGGCATGGCTCATACAAAAGGAATTCCCTTTTGTAAAGCATTATAATCATTTAAGTGAGGCTCAAATAGTGATTGGTACAAAATAAGTGATACTTCACATGGAAGAAAATGCTAGAGAAGTGAAGTTGAGTAAGGTAAGTGGTCCTAACATTGATCCCTGTGGGGCCCCACATTTGACAGCTACTAAGTGCTATCCCCTGACACCATGTTCTAGGCTGCCTAAAAGAAGTCTAGAGTATAAATTCAGTTCAATTTAATTTATATAGCGCCATATCACAACAATAGGTGCTTTATATTGTAAGGTAAAGACCCTATAATAATAATACAAAGAAAACAGAGAAGACCCCCAAAAGTCATATGACCCCCCTTTGAGTAAGTACTTTGGCGACAGTGGGAAGGAAAAAATCCCTTTTAACAGGAAGAGACCTCCAGAAGAACCAGGCTCAGACAGGGGAAGCTATCTGCCCCCAACTGGTTGGGGGGTGAGGGGAGGAAGACGGGACAAAGACATGCTGTGGGAGAGAGCCAGAGCTTAATAGTAACTAATGATTAAATGCAGAGTGGTGTATAAACACATAGTGATTAAATGCTTTCAATAAGTCATGGAAAATTCCTGTCTCACATTCACTGTTATCAATAACATGATTGATTTATTTCAGAGATGAAGAGGTTACATACAAGTGGTTCTTTGTAGCAGTGTAAATATGTCTAAATTGGAAGTTACTGATTAATGTTAACTACAGGCCTTACAACAGAATGACAGTCCAGCCTCTTTATTGCCTTTTCTTCACAGCAGGGGATTAGTGTGTCATATTTACAGTGCAGATTGGTTGGCAAACTGAAGAAAAAAATCTAACTATGATGATAACTGAGGCCATATGTAACATGTCTGAAATGGAACAGCCTGGGCTTGAAACCACCCAGGGCCCTATACTGCACGTCTTCCCCTGACAACCGTGCTACATTTAAAGTCACTTAAACTACCTTTCTTCCACATTCTGATCCTCAGATTAAACTTCAGCAGCTTTGGCATTTATTGTGTTTTTCACTAATAGAGTAATTTTTGCTTTGCTTTTTTAAAATTTTTATCATGTCACTTGTTTGTGTGAGTTTTACTGTTTAGTACTTGGGTTCTTAACTGGAGAGCATGCTGGGTTAAATGTGCTCTGTAAATAAAAGTAA